CAGGATGCTCTGGGAAGACAGCTCAACGGCGGCATGCGTGACGCAGCCCAGCCAGGACACTGAGCCAGCGGAGCAGTGGCCGTGCCCTGAGCACACGGCAGACACGGCCCCCCGCGAGCTCCCCTACGGCCATCCGCGGGGGAGGGGACTGAGGCTCAGAGGCTGTAAGTGACCACCCCTGTCACACAGCAGAAAGGGGTCAAATGAGGTTTATTTGATTCCCATCTATGTTCTCGACGGCTGGGAACCTGTCGTCTGGCTGAAGAAGGAGTTGAGGAGGAAGGACAGGGAGGGCCCAGAGGGTGGCCTGGACGTTTCAGGGTTATCCGGTGTCCCTTCTTCTGGCAAGAATGAGCCAGCAGACACCAGGGTCTGCCTGGGGATACAGATCTAGCCAGGGCCCAGGGAAAGGCTTCAACAGCAGAGGTGACCTATGCCAGAAGGTATTTTAGGATGGTCAGTATGTCCCGAAGCCAGTCCGAAGTTTATTCCAATGGAACAGATCTGAAGAATGAAGACTGTAGACAAGATTCCCCCAAGGCTAGAATGAGAGGCGGGTGGTAAAGACAGTACAAAGAAAAATCTGGCGATATTGGAAAGCCGGATGGGTGGAAAGGAGACGAGGACGATCCTACGTTCCAAACCGTCGATGCACAGGAATAGGGGAAACACACAGAGAGTGATAAGGATGAACTCTGAGTTCCTTGGGGACCGTGGGATGTCTAAGTGGCAATGAAGTGCTGAATGGGGCAGCACGGAGCCCTGGGACAGGCTCGCACAGACCTGTCTCGGCGAGGACCACCAGCTCGTCCGCTCTGCGGCGATCGGACCCGTCCAGCCTGCTCCCCGCCCCGACCCATCACAGCTCACACACACCGGGCGCTCCATAAATATTTTCTGAATGAATGTTATGATCCGATCGAATTTTATTCGGCTTATCCTCAAGGATATCATGACTCTGTCCAACACCTCGATGAAATTCACACCCACTCTCTTTATTCTATTCTTTCCAAGGCCATGCAATCCTATTAGAGGAAGGAATGAGGTCCGTTTAACGGGAATTACTTTCAGTGAACCGAGGCTCACTCTCCCAGCAGCACGGACGGCGAACAGCGAGGAGGACGCCGCACTGGTTACGCTCGTCACGAACGTCCCGCTCGATTACTCTAAAGGTCGAGGACGAGAAAGTCTCCCTTGTGATCGTTCGTTCAAGTTACATCTCAGGGGCCCACATAGGTATGACTCCACAAAGAGCCTCTGGAAAGAGAAATAAAACAGCAGCACAGACAAAGTGATGGCAAACAGCCTGTGATATTCGACAGAATTTCAGAAAGGGGGCACCTGGGGGGCTCAGCGGCTTGAGCATCTTGGCTCAGGTCTCGATCTCAGGGTGGTGGAATCCAGCCCCACATCGGGCTCTACACTCAGCGGGGGGGTCTGCCTGAGACTCTCTCTCTCCCTCTGCTCCTCACTGCCCCCCCAAAACAATAAATAAATCTTAAACAAAAAAAAGAATTTCAGAAATGTCTGAAATGAGCAGAAGCTGGTCATGACAGTATAGGCGAGTGCAAACTTGGGACTGTCCAGTGTCCATTCCGCACGTTCCAACGCAGAGCCTGTTTCTCCCATAAGAAGTCACCACCGGACGCCAGGACCAGTGGTTGGAGCAGCGCAGCAGGCGCAAACCTGCAACCCTCCTTCTTGCTCCCAGTGAGCGGCCCAGGAGCTGGCCTCATCCACGTGCCGGGCTGCAGGGACCGATTTGGGGGATGGCCACTTGACCCGATTTGGGTCAGTGAGAAGAGCGGGATTTTACCCGTAGACTTGCTCCCTTCTGCCAGGAACGCGAACCGCAAGGCTGCTGTGGAACCGGAAGCCGCCACGGGCTGCCACGGGCCACCACGGGGCACCACGGGGCACCACGGGCACCTGGAACAGAAGCCAACCCAGATGAAGGCAGAGTCGGAGCGGATCCTGAGAGCCCTGACTGAGCCATATCAAAGCTAGCCCTTTGGGGGATTTTTCAGTCTCTGAACCAAAAAAATCCCATTTTCGATTATGTCAGGTTGAATCAGATGATGCACTTTCCCTGGAAAGACTCGTGGCTCACCTCATTGCCCGAGCAGCTCTCCCTCTGAGCGCAAGTTCGGAAAGGAGATGGCCCCTCCCTTCCACTTGGCGATCACTTTGTGTTGCTGGACACACAATGCAAGCAAACCCCATGGGACATTTTTAAGAACTTACGAGGGCAACGACAGACACCACAGCTCAGTCTTTCCAAGCCGTGATAACATGGGCAAACCAGAAGGAAACGGGCCACGAAAGCCACGCCAGGACGGGATGGTCTGCGCACTAGTCAGCTCGTCCCAGACACCGTGAAGCGAGATTCGCAGCTCGGCCCCAAAGCTGCCTCATGCTAAGCCGCTGATGCTGAGGAAACCCACGCACCTGCTCAAACATTTCTACCAACAGCAGCAAAGAGCCTCACCCCTCAGACTGGAGGGGCATGAAACCAGATCGCAGCCCCTCTGCCTTTGCAACCCAGACCACAAGTGTCCACCAAGAAGAACACACGGGGAAGCAACCGGTCCCGTAACTACGGCGTGGATAAGCGCGGCGGAGGAGGGCAGGAAACGAACCGCCTCCCGGGGGGATGTCTGTCTGCTCCGGGCCAAGCCCTGAACTTCCATATTCTCAGCGCTCTCTCCCGTTTCATGTGGCTCCTGCATCTGACAGGCGCTGCAGGCTGGGATCCTTCTCCGTTCGCGTACGTCTCCCCAGTTAGAGGGTGACCCCCTGGAGCCCAGGACCTCATCCTTCCACACCTAACAGTGTCTAACACGAAGAAGATCCTCTGGAAATGTCCCTTGGAAATTCTCAAAATGTAACGCCCTTGGCTAGCAATGAACTGAGAGTACAACGAGTAAGTCTGTCTTCCTCGCTCACAATTAAGAGCAGTTACTATCCGGGATGCCCCGGTGGCTCGGTCAGGAAAGCCTCTGCCTTTGGCTCTGGTCGTGTTCTCCTGGGATCGAGTCCCGCGTCGGGCTCTGCGCTCAGCACGGAGCTGTTCGAGATTCTCTCTCGCTCTCTCCTCCCCATCCACCCCGCCGCCACGCTGTGCACTTGTGCTCTCTCTTTCAAATTTAAAAAAAAAAAAAGTTAACTATTTACCAAATAGCTCCTCTGTGCCAAGTCACGTGCTCAAAACCACATGTAAATGATTTAGTCGTTGACTTGGACTGAGCTCATCGTAACGGGAAATGCAACTAGATGGAGAAGGAAGATCATGTCTCCTCCTAACTCTTCCCACTGCCGAACCTGAACAGAAACAGAACAACGGCGTACAGGTTCAGGGGGACACGCCTGGACTCAACCTAGGGAGGGCGCTCCAGAGTGGGCCAAGGGCTGGGCCCCGGGCAGACCCAGCGAAGGGCGTTTCAGCAGGGACACCTCCACGAGGTGGTTTGAGCACGGGAGGGGTGGCCAACATGGAGTCAGACAGAGCTGGACGTCCTGGTCCCCCGTAAGCCTGTGAGCCCACAGCAGCAGCTGCACTCAGTCTGAGTGATGTCCCAGCCTCAGCTACGAGCCTGGCTCATTACCAGCCCCTTATTGTCTCCTTGTCCTCCAGTGCCTGCGGCCTCTCCCCACGCAGACACATGGCCGTCCCGCGATGTCGGGGTTCCTCTGGCCTACCGAAGCAGATGGCAGGGCTGGGTGATAGAGGGGGAGCTAAGGTCGCCAAGCAGATGACACCCCCACCACGATGAGCCCTGACTCAATGCCCTCCCATCCCATCCTGTTGCTTTGGTGGGTCACAGTGTTAGGCTGGAAGGGAGCAGAACTAGGGAGGCGACCGCACAACACTGGCTGCCCTGCGGTTCCTTGCAGCCGTGTAAGTCTTAGTCAAACACACACTTTCAAGAAGGTCTGAGCCAGCGTCAGACAAGCTAGTACCCCCGGCTTGTTTTGCTTTCAGCTCTCCAACAGCTTGTTAGCCATTAAATCTCCCATGTGGCTGTTGGTGAGGGGAGAGCATGTGCAAAGGTCCAGCGGTAAGGAAAGCCGGCAGGGCTGGGAGACAGACTCAGAGTGGCCGGAACCTGGGTTACACAGAGCGGGGCTGGAAACAGGTGAAAACGGACGGACGTGCAGCGCCAAGTTGGGAAGAGCCTCATAAGGAGGGTCCGTTCCCCCCCCAAACCGCCCCGGGACAGCAGGAGGTCGCTGAGACGCTTGAAACAGGGCGGAGAAGCAATCAGATGTGTGTCTCGGAAATCTCGTCTCATATACTGTGTGGAGAGCGGACCGACAGGGAGGAGCGGTACGAGAAGGGACAGGAGCAGCGCGAGGAGGCTGTGTGGACAGCACTGGTAGCTCGGACTGCCATCCCGAGGAGCGGACACCCTCAACAAACACTCAGTAGGGACACCAGGAGGACTTGGCCACAGCTCGCATGAGGGACGTGAGAGAGGGAGGAGGGACGGGGGAGTCAAGGACGATCCTGAGACTCCTGGCATGGCCAGGCACGGGGCTGACGGCACCAGGCACTAAGAGGGACACGTGACGGGCCAAGGGGGACAGGATTCAGCCTGGAGCAGCCTAAAGCCGGTGACAACCAAGAGGAGATGTCGTCCAGAAGGCAACTGGTCGGTCTGAAGGTTCATCAGAAAAGCTCATTAGCATTAATGTTAATGTGCTCATTAATATACAGAACATAAGGGAGGTCATGGGAAGTGATGACATTCTCCAGGGGAAATGTCCAGTCTGAACCCGGGTAAGGGCTAGAGTGGGTACATAGGCACCCGAACCCAGATGCCTTCCTCTCAGCTTACCGGGGGCATCTTGCCCTAAGCCGCGTGATCAGGGCATCTCGGAAGGGAAGTGCCACACTGTCCGTCCCCATAGGGAAAGCGGCCCCTACGACCCGCACATCACCATTGGGTCACCGTCTGCCAGCACCCTGGGATGCCGGTTCCAATACCGCAAGCACTCACCTGTCGACAAGGCTTCCTCCCGAACCTCGTCTTCTCTGGGCTGATGAATGTTCCAGGACGTTTTGGGAAGCGCGGAGATTTCCTCGGGCGAGGCCAACCTCACCATATCCATGTGATTGCTCTGGAACTGGTACCGCGGGATGAAGCAGGTTTTGCCTTGCCGGAAAATGTCCTTGATGATCTCCTCTGTCTCGATCTCGTCTGGCATGCTCAGGAAGATGGAAATTCTTTTGGACTTTTGATACTGACTGTGGGCCATCACCTAAATGGGAAACGGCAGTCACGTTGATTCCCCAAGGTGACACTTTCGAACACCAGTGGCTACCCCTTTGCAGTTTTTACCCTTTCTCCCTTCTCCCTCCGCCTTCTCCAGCTTCTTGAAATACAAGTCACCAAGGGAGAGCAGAGCGGCCGAGGGGGCTGGGCGGGCCTGCGTCCTGAAGCCCAGGGCTTAGTTCTGAACCCAGTAATGACCTCTCTGACCCTTACCATCTTTCTCACATGCCTGCTCCAGCAGGAGTGACAACTCATTAAAAAGTCACTGTCGCCTTGCAGAATCCCAAGCCTGCTGTCCAGCCACCTCCGGTCACCCCACACACCACCCTGAGCGCCCCCGCCTGGCTTCCACTCTGAACCTCGGCTTCCACTCTGAACCTCGGCTCCCACGCGCTTTCTCACTCCCTGGATCGTCAGGCTCGCCTCCCCTTAAATTCTGCCCATTTTAGCCAACTCAGGCGCTCGCTTTTCCTGACTTCTGCAGCACACTTACGACACTTAAAGTGCACGGAACACTTACTCATGTATTATCAGGCTGATCACTAATTGTCTCACGAGTCCCAATGGCAGTATTGTGACCAGGCGGTAAGCTCCCGGGAGCAGAGGACAAGCCTGTTCTTCTTCAGCTCTGACGACCTCTGTCCCCACCTCCTACAACTCTCCTGTCCAGATGTTAAAGAGTTTACAGAGATGGGAGGAGGGGCTCTTGGAGAGGTACAGTCCTTCTAGAAACAAGTACCAGGTTGCGAGAAGGCCCCCAGGTGGGGAAACGCCATCATGCTCAGTTTCGCCAGGCCTCAGAGCAGCTAATCTCCGAACTGCCCCAGACTCACAAGTCAGCTCTCAGCTCCCCTTCTTTTCCTGTTCCTCTGAGCTAAGAAGACAAATACAAATACGGCGACCCTGGCCGATAAACAGGTCTGGCAGAAAGAAGACCGACACAGAGAGCCAGGGCAGTCCTAATGGAAAGGAGTACGTAGCGTTCAGCAGACGGAGCGCACCAGACTGGGGCCAAGGAAGCGAGCTCCATCCTCCTGGGAAGTCACAACGCTGTTACGAGTCCTGATATAAGGCGAAATGAAAAGAAATGCAACCCCCAGACCCTGGGAAGACCTGCAGCTCCTGGCACCCAGGAGATTTTTGAGAAAGTTACGGTCTGTCGTGTCTGTTCTCTTTAAAGAGAATATGAAGCACCAAGAGCTGAATAAGCAGAAACAGAAATCAGTTAAATTCAGTGCGAAACCGTGAATATGCATTTATCATCCTTGTTCCTGACATCTCATTTATGTGACAATAATGAAGCACAAAAACAGAAAACCATTATGGCACCGAGAACAGGAGAACAGACACTTGACTAATTTCTGTGAGACGAAGAGGAGATGGGACGGTATTTCCAGATAAACAGCAGCAGACACAACGCTCAGACGACGTGGCTGTGAGGCTGGCAGAACCCCTCCCCCCACAGTGACGGCAAAAGGCAAAGGAGATCCTGGGAGCTGTCACACCTTCATTCATAAACACAAGTCCACAATAAAGGTTCAGCAAACATTTTAGAACGTCAAAACACAAAAGAGAAGGAATAAAAGGGGGAAGGGTGACCCAGTGGGAAACCGAGATAATTCAGAGAATGGGAAATTTTTAAATTCTAATTAGTTTTCTCAGACAAATTCAAGATAATTGCATCTATAAGGTAACAACATGCTATGGAAAGAAAGCAATCCGAAAACTGAGAAATGATCATTGAAAATTAAAATTAAGGATACCAAAATTTAGAAGTTCAGGAGAAAGCCTTAAAGTAGGGAAAAAAAAAAAAAAAGAAAAAAGAAATGGGGAAAGTTAAAAAAAGAAAGAAAGAAAGAAAGATTCTTCAAAGACGCAGAAAGTCAGTGTAGGATTTTCACTAGCTGATTCATAGGAATTGCAGAAAGGCACAAAGGAAAAGAAGTAACTGAAGATATAACAGAAAAAGATACCAGTCTTCAGACTGAACGGAGGTCATGGGTGCTGAGGAGAACAAGGAATATATTTTTAAACTTGAAATTCAAACTAGCAGTGAAATATGAGGGTAAAGACTTTTTCTAATGTATAAAGTCTTAAAAACTTTACCCCCATAGATATTTCTAAAAAGAAAAAAATTACTTGAGAATATACTCTAGTAAGATGGACAGAAAGAAATCCAACCAAGAAGACACTGGGTTTGCAGCAGCCCAACTGAGAAGCAGGGTGGGAGGAAGTCCAGGCTGTGCACTGGGCTACAGCAGAGGGAGCAGGGGCCTGGAGTGCTCTCAGGAAGAAAACTGATTTATTTAAACAGACAAAATGAAAAAGAATCTGCTGGTAAGATAAAGGCATATTCTTGTTTTGCCAAAAAGGAAAAACAAAGGCGATCAGAAACTCCTTGAAAAACACAGAGCTAAATTAGAAACGTAGACTCCAAACAGGAGCAGACTAAAGCCTGTCACGATTTTGAGCAATTCTAGAGCATAACGAAGGATAGAGTTCTCAGCAGTGACACTGGAAACATTCTCTGCCTAGCCACACACATCCAGCGACAGAGAATCATACATCCTTTTCTGATAACCATACAACTTGGTTCTACAATGAATACTATCTATGTAATCAATACACTGTAAATACTATTCCCTAAAATTCCAAATTTGGAAATCAGCCACTGAAAATGCTCCGTACACTCATTCTAATTATAAAACAATACAAATATTAGAAAACTTGATAATTTAAGTATGATGATATAGGGGTCAGAAACTGGCAGATGGAACAGAAGACAGGTATAGGGCACCAATGTCCTTATTTAGTTGGGGAGTCAAGATGTAACACAAAGTTGAATTTCTTCACCGTACATTGCTTTTCTGATAAACTTCTAAATTATAAAAAAAAAGGTGCTGTGTCATTAAGAATAAATGTGCCTTGTAAAATACATTATTGCGAGAATGGCATCACTTAACACCTTTGTTGACTGTGCACTATGGCAAAATACTGCTCTAATCCCAGCACCTGGAGGTCTCCAGCCATGACCCCCTGGTTGGTCATGAAATCAAGGGCAGGTTACAAGCGGCTTTTTAAATAAAACAGAACATATTGAAATTCACTGTATAAAGTAAGAATTGTGAAACCCTGGGCTGTGAAACATTTCTTCTGTATGTGTATCTGTAGGGGGTACAATGTACCGAGGACGGAGGGTCCTGGGTCTGCTTTTCAACGTTTCTCTACTCTGATGTCAGCTATGACTTGTCACCCTGTTCTGTCACTGGTTCAGCGTCTGTACAGCTACTACTTCCACATGTAATTTACAAACTCTCATCTTCTGCAGAGAAACAGCTCATCTTCGTCTTCCCCGCGCCTTTCCCAAGTCTGCTCCAGGCCTTGTGCGCCTCTGCCTAGTGAGGTCAAACCCCCATTCTGCAAGCACGAGGACTGCTCTCCTTTCCTGGACCCTCTGAGCTCCATCCCACCCGTTGCCAGGTTGCACGGGTTCTCAACTGCGCAGACTCCCGTTTCCCAAAATGCTCCCATATGCTTCTCCTAAAGGCTACATGGAAAGGGCGTGCAGGGGCGCCCTACTGGCTCAGTCCGTGAAGCACCTGACTCCTGATCTCTGGGTTGTGAATTCAAGTCCCACATTGGGTGTAGAGATTAATTAAAAACAAAAGCTTAAAAAAAAAATGTGGGGATGCCTGGGTGGCTCAGTGGGTTAAAGCCTCTGCCTTCGGCTCAGGTCATGATCTCAGGGTCCTGGGATCGAGCCCCGCTTCTTCGGGCTCTCTGCTCAGCGGGGAGCCTGCTTCCCCCTCTCTCTCTGCCTGCCTCTCTACCTACTTGTGATCTCTGTCTGTCAAATAAATAAATAAAATATTTAAAAGTAAATAAATAAAATAAAATGCATCGGAGCCAGGTTAGACGGGGACCTGTGGAGCTGCGGAGGCTGTCCCCCCTCCACCTGGGTCAGACGATCCTGCCCGCGCCGGCCCACGCTCCGCCCTCACAGACAGAACCCATCGTCCACTACAGGTGCGTGGCCCGCGTCTCCCTGGGGTGCTCCCTCGCTCGGGGCTCATCACACGGGTGACACCGCGGTCCCCTGTTCCTGCGGGCGCCGGCGCGGTGACCCGCGGGGACCTCGCCCCCGGGAACGGGTCGGGGACTGGGCGGGAAGGCCGAGATCGGGTGCCCGCGGCGGTTCCTGCAGGAACCGCTGGGAAGTCCGAGCCGCTCCGCAGACTGGGGGCCGTAGCCCCGCCCCCGCGGGCTCCCCTCCCGGCGGCGCGCGAGCGCACAGGTGCACGCGCGCGCACGGCACCCCCCGGGCGGCCGCGCGCTTCTCCGCTCGCGTCCCCGAGGCGACTGGACTCTGCGCCGCGGGTCCCGCTGCGGGGGACTCGGGGGCCCCTCGGGGCTCAGGGCCCGCGCTCAGCGCGCCGGAGCTTCCTGCCCCCACCCCGCTCTCACCTCGGCCGGCTGTCATCCGCCTCCACCCTCCTCAGCCCTCCTCAGCCCCGGACCCCCTAGCCGCACGCTCCCCAGGCGGAAGGACGTGCGCGCCCCCGAACCGCCCGCGGAGAAACGTGCGCGCGCCCGGAGGGTCCTCCCCGCCCCTGCAGAGGGACGTGCGCGCCCCCGGAGGGGTCCTCCCGCGCCTGCGGAGGGACGTGCGCGCGCCGGCCAGCTGCGCCTGCGCAGGCCGCCGATCCAGAGCGGCCCGGCAGTCCGGTGAGCGTGGCGGTCCGCTGCGGTGGCCGCCCTCGCGGTCTCCTACCTCCTGGGCCAGGAGGCGGGACTGGCGCAGCCGCTCCTCGGCGCTCATCGCCCGCAGACGCTGCTTCAGCTCGGCCCGCAGGCTCCGCTTGGCGCTGCTCACGGCCGCCGCCGCCGCCATCTCCGGGGCGCCCCGTGTTCGTCCCCGCTTCCGGGTCGCGGGCGCCCGCCCCCAGCACGCCTCCCGCCGGGGACTCCGCGCGGCCTGGGCAGGGTCTGAGGTCGGCCGGGTCCGGGGGAGGGTCCGGGGGAGGGTCCGGGGGAGGGGCGGCCCGGGGGAGGGGGAGGGTCCGGGCCTAGTGAGGCCGCGGGGAAGGGTCCGAGGTGGGCGGGGGACCCCAGGGGGCGGGTCCTGGGGAGGGGCGGCTCCGGGGGAGGGCCCGAGGTGGGCGGGGGCCCCCGGGAGAGGGTTAGGCCTCAGGGCCGCCCCGGGGAGGTTCTGGGCTCCGTGCGTCCCCAAGGAAGGGGGAGGGTCGGTGGAGGGGGGTTGTGTCCTGCGGGGCAGAGAGCGAGTGACCGCCTGGCCCCAGCTTCCCGGCCCGCTGTGGCCCGTCCTGAGTTCGGGAGGGGGCGCGGCCCGGGCGCTGGCCTAGGTTGCTGTGAGTGAGCCTTGGGGCCTGAGCGGCCGGGTGGGTCTGACCAGCGCGCAGGGGCCGCGAAGAGAAGTCCACAGAGTGCCCAGACCTGCTGGTTAAAGGGAACATGATTGTTGTTGGGTTTTGGTTTTTTGGGAAAAACACTTTTCTCTCTTTTTCTTTCCCAGTGGGTGGGAGGGAGCCGGTTTGTAACTGAGCGACAGGACAGACCGTTGAAGCTGCGGGTGCCTTTTGTGCTCACCTCTGGAGAATTCAGGACTTGGAGTAAGTGCCCAGTGCGAGACAGGGTCAAGGTCCGGCGTGTGCTCACAGTTCGGTGCCTGGCCCTGGGGCCTCCGGAGCAATGAGCAGATGGAGACCCCGAGTTCCCTCCGTGTGCAGGTGTTTACCTGGACTGGGAGGAAGGAAGACCATAATCCCAGGGACTCCGTTGGGGAAAGGCTCTTACACTCTAGATTGACCCCTCGCGCGTTGACAGCAGTGAGCCGATGAAAAGGTGAGGGGGGTTGTCATTTAGTAGATGAGGAGACTGAACTGTACAATAATTAGAAGTTGAGAAAATTTAGTGAGTTTTATGTTAATCAGTTTTACCGTTTACTGAAGTTCCTGTGGGAAAACAAGCATTCAAGCATAGCCAGCGAAACAGAAGATGAAAGGCCACCCGGAACCGGCCCTTCCAGACCTTGAAACATACCGTAAAACCCACGTAACTGCAACGGTTCGGGATTGCCACCCAGTAGAACAATGGAATAGAGCAGAAGCTCAGAAATAGACCTGAAGCCATATGGCAGTGTAGTATATGACAAAGATGGCATCTCAGGTCACGGGGCCAGCACCATCTGTGTAACAAATGGTCCTAGGAGAGCTGGACAGCCATTTCTTAAAAGGTAAAATTATGTCCATATCTCCCACCATATATAAGAAAAAACTCCAAACAGATGAAGGTTGTAGTGTACAACCTAAGACTGTGGGAGAGAGGGTGGTTCCCCCACAACGGCAGTGTGGGAAAGGCGGTGAGAGAGAAGACTGGTAAGTTCGACTGCAGACGAGTGTCTTGTAACTTTGCATGGCACCTAACACAAGAGACCACTGACAAACGAGAGGAGATACGAGCAGCCTAAACCGCAGACACGGGGTTAATTTCTTTTAATAAAGAACTCTTTAAACGCTGGGTTCCAGGGCAGTTAGGCCCGAAAAATAATAACGGGCAGCCAGCCTGGAAAGAAAGAAGTAAACCTTCTCTGCAGACGGCATGACCACGTGTACAGGGAATCCTGAGGAACCCATGAGAAAGCTGTGAGGACTAGTACACTGGGGCTCGGCGAGGGCGCAGGATAGGAGACCGGCCTCCCAGCCTGGGGCTGTTCGCATGGGATGTGTTGCTGGTTCTTCCGGTCCTGCAGCAGCTCCTGGCCTTTGGATTCAAATCAGGACCACGGCTCTGGAGATGTTGCTGGCTCCAACATCACGTACGCCCGTCCTTTGTAAGTGTGGAACCAGCCCTACTGGTTCCTTCGAGCTACACACACAGCTGACCCTCAGACAACATGGGCATTCGGAGCACTGACCCCTACACAGTCACCTCTCCAAAAACTTAACTACGAATACCCCACCAGTGAGGGAAGCCTTGCAGACCACATGCACAGTTGATGAACACCTAGTTTGTGTATGTGTTGCAGACTGTGCTGACGATATAGTGAGCCAGGGAAGCCATGAGAGAAAATACATTTATAGTACTGGACCATACCAGAGAAAAATCTTATGTGTAAGTGAGCCCACGCAGTTCCTGCCTTTGTTGGTTACTGATCAACTACATACTTATATATAAAACAGGAGATAATGTAAGTAGGAGATTTATATGTATATCTCATATGTCATTAAATGCCTATAATAATAGGTGTATATAACAAGATGTAAGTTATACATAAAAAGACTATATGTATAAATCTCCAATTGATTCCCTTTCTCCAGAGAAGCCCAATACAGATTTTTGTAATAATCCAGAGGGTCTCAAATTTGAAAAACAATTCCATTTGCAATAGCATAAAAAAAATACTTAGAAATAAGTTTAGCAAGTGTTAGAGTTCTGGAAACTACATGGCATTGTTGAGAGAAAGGAGACCTGTATAAATTGAAGGACAACCCATATTCATGGGTTGGAAGACTTACTATTACGATAGCCCTGCTCCTTAAACTGATCTGTAGAGTCAACGCAATACCTATGAAATTTGGCTTTTTTGCAAAAATCAACAAACTTACTGTAAAATTCTCATGATAAAACAAGAAACCCAGAATAACCAAAACAGTCTTGAGAAAAGAGAACAAAGTTGGAAAACTCACAGAACTGAAGTCGAGAAGTTAATACAAAGCTACAGTAATCAAGGCAGTGTGGTCCTGGTATAAGGAAGAGAAGGATAGGTAAATGGCATAGAATCGAGAGCCCAGAAATAAACATTCACATTCATGGTCACTTGATTTTCCTGAGAAAGAGAGCCAAGATGATTCTATCGGGAAAGAATGGTTTTCTCCAACAAACAGTGATGGGATGTGGAAAACAAGGAAGTGGGATCCTTACCTAACACCATATTCACAATTTAACTCAAAGTAGATCAAAGGCCTAAAGGTAAGTGCTGAAACAAAACTCTTAGAAGAAAACGTAGGCGTAAATGTTTATTACCGTGGATTAGGTAGTGCTTCCTTAGTTACGGCACCAGACACAAGCAACAAAAGAAAAATAATTCGGACTTCATCAAAATTAAGCATGTTAGTACGTTAAAGGACACCATCGCATATACAAGGGAATTAAATCCAGACTATGTAAAGAACCCTTACAACTCAGCAGTAAAAGAAAGTCATCTAAACAGGCCAGAGACTTCAGTACAGAGAAGTCTCCGCCTAAGATGGCTACAAAGCACGGAGAAAGATAGCAGCATCCTTTGTCCTTAGAGAACCGCAAACCCAAACCAGAAAGGGACACCGCGCGCGCGCGCGCACGGCTATAATCAGAAACACAGAGAGTGTCGGGGAGGGTGTAAAGACAAGAGCCCTCCTGCTCCTGGGAACCTGGGACGCTACAGCAGGGATGGGCCCAGTGACAGAGGCCACATACTGTACGGTCCGTTTGTATGAAATACCCAGGACGGGCAAATCCACATAGACAGCAGGTAAGGGAGTGGTCGCCCGGGGCTGAGGCAGGAGTACGGGGCTTCTGTTTGGGGTGATTAGAATGTTCTAAAGTTACACGGAGAGGCTAGTTGCGAAGCACTGTGCATAAACTAAAAACTGCTGAATTGTGCATTTTAAAAGGGTGATTTTAATGTCCATTACATCGCCATGAAATAAAGAACAACAGAAAAGAAAATCTACACGTATCTGCTCATTTCTGAAAGAAAAAAATGCAGTAAACATAAACTGGAAACAAACGATGGGTCCCCCATAGGGCACGGGTGAGGGTTAGGGTGGGGCAGTGGTAAGGGAGTAGCCCAGTGACGGGGACAACGATATTTCGATGACACTGGTCTGGGTAGCTCTGATCCTCAGAACCACGCCAACATCTGCATGCACACATCCGCACAGCCAGGAACAGGGCAAGTGGGACAAAACGGACGTGCGCTGTGCTGGTTGACCTACCACAAATGGAGGAGGAGGAAAGAACCGACTTAAGTAACTTCCGGAGGCAGCATTCTGACTGTCCCCTGTAAAAGTGGGGGCCGAGGCAGCTGTACCCTGACAGCGCACTCCAGTTAAGACATTCATTTCTCATCGGGTTATAAATCAGTAATTGTGAAACTACTTTATTTTGTTCCAGAACTGAGCAAATAAGGAAATACGTCATAGATAATGAGAGCACCAGTGTCTCCCCATCAGAAAAAACAAGTACAAATAAGGAAGGAGTAAAGGTTGGAATGAGCCCTGTTATGTTGCCTTGGAATGGGAAGTGTTGGTATAAATTTGTGATTTTCAATAGACACAAATGGACAGAGAGAGAGAGATGTACATTTGATGCACGGACTTAGGTTCCCTAGTTATGTCCGTGAGAGCATGCAGAAGCAGTGACCCACCAGAGCAATGAAATCTAGCATCCAGATCTTGGTTTCTGAGTGTCGTTCTACAACAAGGAATAGGGCTTCCAGCGTTGAGACAGGAGCAAGATGGGCCTGGAACAGCTCATGGCGCCACATGGTAAGGAAGTGATCCCAGCAGAAGGGAGCGCATCAGAAGGGAGCCGGGACCCAAACTGGAGTTCCCAGCAGCCTAAGCTGGGACAATCTGAGCAACAAAATAGTAATTTTACTCTATACCCCATGAAATAAAATAAATATCCATGGTCCATAGTGATTGATAAATGGATAATGATAAATAAATAAAATAACAAGTAGACATAGCTCCTTGTCCTATAATTCTAGTTAATAAATGTCGAAGGAATGGTGGAAATTGAGAATCACATTAGGCAAAATTTGCACTTACAATCAATCAGTGCAGGCAAGAACCATTGATAGGGGCTAAAATCAGTGGGCAAAAGAAGAAAACAAAAAGATCGTTTTTGTGGTCTCCAAGTATCGCCACATAAGATACTTAATGGATGTTAACATGTGATAAGACATATGTGCCCCCTAATATGGCCC